GAGGTGAGATGGGAAGGCAGAGAGGGTCAGGAGCTGGTTGAATGGACATGGGGAATTAGGGGTGGAAAGGAGGAGTGTGCTGTCACAGTATGGGGAGAGCGATTAGGGTCACATAACAATGTATGTATAAATTTTTGTATGGGAAAAAAAAAATATTCTTTAAAACCATCCACTTTGTGATACTTTGTTATGACAACTTTAGGAAACTAATAATCAAAAGTTGGTTTTATACCCACTAAACAAAAGGGTAATAGACTCAGAGAATTTGTAATTTGCCCCAAAATTCACACCAACTGATAGAGAGCTAGGACTGGAAGCCAGGCTCTTGATGATAAAGATATACTTGTATAGACAAATGTAATGATCATATGCGTTAGTGTGGATCTTTTAAGATGACAGATAATTAACATGGTATAGTAATAATAAGGATAATAACAATGGGCGCATAAATATATACGTATAAGAGGTTCTTTTCCTAAGTTTACCTTAATGGACACCTCATTCCATCTGCCTTTTGGGGGTCACTTCCTACGTTTAGAGGTTAGAGAGATTCTTACCAGAATTGTGTAAACAAAACCACCAGCCTGTGCTTCTGTTAGCACGAGCTTTCTGCAGTCAGCAAAGTAGAAGCATAGGCTGCTTCTGGCCCGGCACATTTGACAAATGTCCTAAGCAAATAAAGGAGTTCTGTCAAGAACTTGGCTGAAGTGTCTCATTTTCTTGGTTCTGGGGTGTGACAACTTTCTTTTTCCTTTGTGTGTCATTCTGCCTGTGTAAATTTTCTCTTTGTCTCCTAGGACTCCATAAGGTATTCTAAATGCCCTTTACTCCCTTGGGGTTAAATATTAAACACATTTTCGCCTAAAGTCTGAAATGCCCGGGTCCACAAAGAGGCGGATTCATAATATCACATTTATGAAGGTGGATAGGACAGTGGGTGGATAGGACAGTGAGGAGGCTAAAGGAAAGACGGGGGATGCTTGTTTTGTTAGCTCCACTTTGAAAATGTACATGGGTCGCTAACACTCTGAGACAAGCCCAGATTTAAAAGATCTAAATGTTTCTACCACTGTCAGATGTGCAGAAGCAGAATACTTCCTCTTACTTGTAACCTCAGAAACTCATAGGCCGTGTGACATGGGAGCATTAAGGCCAGTTAAATATTAAGCAGGGAGCCTCTCAGGTCTAGTATTTAAAAGCAGAAAGGAGGGAGACAAGTCCAAAGAGCTTTAAGGAAGATGGGAGTCAGGTATGTCAGACCAGCTAGTCTGCATTTGACAAAGAACCCATTTTTTCAGTTTTTCTTCCAGCCAGTCTGAGCTGCAAAACTGTGTCTGATTGATAATACATTTTTGTTATTAAAATAGAATAATCTTTTAATGTTGAGATAATAAAGTTTGTTTTCTTAAAAAAGACTGTGTCTGGTGCTTCCCATGGTTGAAATGGAATAGGAGGAGGTAGGATACTATCTTACTTCATTGAAGTGCTTATTGTTTTCCTATTGCAAGCAAGCAATAAGCCGTCTGTCTTCCTTGCTTTCTTTCTTGCTTATAAGAGCTGGTGCGCTGGTACTCAGCACACCGCACACTCCCAACATGTTACATAAGTGGAAACACAAGTATGGAATCATGGAGCTTTTTTTTTTCCCCTTAAATTTTATTTATTTTGTTGTTGTTGAGAATAATAATAAAATCAAACCCATTGCCATTGAGTCTATTCCAATTCATAGCGATCCTATAGTACAGTGTAGAACTGCCCCGTGTAGTTTCCAAGGAGCGGCTGGTGGATTCGAACTGCTGACCTTTTGGTTAGCAGCCAAACTCTTAACCACTGTACCACCAGGGCTCCTTGTTGAGAATATACACAGGAAAACAAGCACCAATTTAACAGTTTCTGCATGTACCATTCAGTGACATTGATTACATTATTCAAGTTGTGTGACCATTCTCACCCTCCTTTTCTGACTTGTTCCTCCCTCATTAACATAAACTCACTGCCCCCTAAGGTTTCTATCCAATCTTTCGAGTTGCTATTGTTAATTTGATCCCATATAGATAGTTCTTAAAAGAGCATAATGCTCAGGGCAGGCCTTTTTTACTAGTTAAAGCTAAACTATTGTTTGGTTTTAAGATGACTTCAGGGGATATTTTTGGTTTAAAGTTTAAAGATTCT